AAACTCATAAAAAAAAGTGAAAAAAAAATGGGGAGATTGACACTGAAGAGAATTGCACTATTTTATTCTCACATTAGATACATTTTATGAAGTTAGACAGTCAAAATGACTTCTTTTGGGATTGAGCTCCGTTTGCAAAGAGTTTGAATGATTGTTTTGATTCTTATGGAGATGATTAATTGATATTATTTAGTTATATTGATAATAGCCATGTTTTAAATACCAGTTCGTACCGGCCGGTATTACCGGTACTACCGGATACCGATGGTCCGACCGGTACATTTACACTCAAAATACCGTTTTGGCCAAAATACCGGTTTCGTACCGGAAAATACCGGTGATGGGTCTGCTCTCAGATCTGGAACGGTTTGGTAAGAAAACGTCCGGATCTGGGATGAACCGGTATGAATGAGCTTAGATCTGGCCTGATGACCTTCGAGCCGTTGCTGAATCGCACGAACACCTGCAAGAACTCAACGCCGGAGGGTTTTTCCGGCGTAGAGCCTCCGACGCTCAAGTCAGTATATGAGAGAAATGATGGGGGCTGCTATCAGAGCAGCAGCAGTAATAGAAATGTATGGAATGAATGGGAGTTAGGGTTTTGGGATTACCTCAGTCCTTTATATAGGAATACAATATATACCTGAAGTCCCCAAAATGCCCCGGCCGACTTAATGGAAATGTCCAGAATACCCCGGTCGGTTCATATTCCGCCTACTTCCTAGTCAGCATCTAGATCCTTCCTGAGCTTCCTTCTTATCCTTAATTCTTCTTCAATATGCTGAGGTGTGTCAAAGCTATCGGGCACCACGAGCTACAACTCCCTCAGTCGACCTGAGACATTACGTCGAGTCGACTGGGTCGCACTCGACTGTTAGTAGACCCTAATACGTCTGGCCGTTCTTACCAGAAGTCGACTTACTCTAGTCGACAGGTGTACATTGACTCGATCGAGAGCCGGGCTTCTTGACTGAGCATCATGGAACCTTACTAATAGAGTCGACCTTGATGAAGTCGACTCGGTAATCTCAAACCGTGACGATATGAACCGTTATGAGCCAATCGTGATAATGTCGCGGTTACTGAATCGATGCACGACAGTATGGCTATATCATCTAGTCCCCCCCAAAATTACTCGAAGCGATTCTGAGCTTACGAGTAGATTTTGTCGACTGGATTTTTTTCTTCGAGTCTTTTCATACGTCTCGTCATCAGTTGTCATCTCGGGTTACATCCCCTCATTACCTCAACTTGTAGTACGACTCGTTTTTCGCGAATTCTGACTTGATTAGATAAGTCTGAATCTTTTCAAATTTCAAAATTCAAAAGATTAAAATTTTCTCTCTCCGCCGCTTCGTATTCTGTGCCTCATCTTATCCGTTGAAAATTACTTTAATCCGAGGGCTGGGGTTTCTTCGCCCTTCCTATAAGTAACCCCTTCTTTTCCTCCTCATTACTTTTTGCACTCGCCTCCAAGATATCTGTCTGTCTCCGGCAATCACAGCTTTCTCCAGTTTCCCGGCGTTCTAATTTTCCGGCGTTCTCCGATTTTTCAAGACTTCTCGTCAAGCATCATGAGCTTCGGTAAGTTTTTTTTTTGCCTGTTCGACTCTCTTTTCTCTTTTTTTTTTTCTTCTTTTTATTTATATGTTCAAGATAGGAGACCTTTTCGTTTTTCTGGGTAATTTGTCTGGGGATAAGAACATCTTCATTTTCTGGGGATTGCGTGTGAATTTTCTGGCGACTTTTCCGTTTAGATCTTTAATTGTATGTTTTGTATTTTCCCCAAGTGTTTCTCTCTGTTAGTCGTTTCGTTGTGGGAGGTCGGTTCTCTTTTTTTTTGTCTCGATCTTCTTTTGTCGAGTCGAATCATCGTGGGGAAGATTTTACCCCGTTTCTTCTCCCTTCTTTCCCATTGTCGGGACACTCTATCATCCTGGTTATTTTATCGAACCTTTTCTTTAAATCGAATCGTGACTTTTGACCACCTTTCCTGATTGCCATATTTTATTCCTCTTAGATTTCGACCTCG